CAGGCACTTATTACAGCAAGGATGACATGAGGAGCCACATTTAAAAGCAGCTGGTTAAAACAGTGTCCAACATTGCTTTGAACCCAGAGAGGAAGTGGATCTATGGAACTAGTCCCACATAGATCAGCCAGAACCTCTTCCATCTTACTTCCAAGAAAAAATATAACAGTCAAGGAAAACAATTCCTAAAGAGAAAAAAAAGACCAAATAAATCAATATGAAGCAAGTATTATATTGTTTTAACTGTTGTTGGTTTTACGCCGCCTAGAGTCACATTCTGATGATGTGAGACTGATGAATTTGCTAAACAAATATAAACATGTAAATGTAAACTTTGGGAGAAATGAAGGCTCTCCGCAAACCCTAAGGATTGATGCCCAGTTTGGTTTGATACTATACCCTTTAAGTGACAGGTTTGTAGGGTTTGTAAGACAGATCAGAAAGCTGAAAAAAAATATTTAGGAGGAAAACGGTAGCAAACCATATTGCTGTCAAGAGACCTACATAGACCAGACCCTTAAGCCACTAGGATCAAGGCTTCCCATCCACTAACTACCAGCTCCATGATAGCCTCCCCTGCATAGCTTTCCGGCATCAGCCAAGGTCGTTCCTACAGGAGACGTAAAAACGGTTTCTCCCCCTCCGCTCTGCCGGGGGCTCCTAAAACTGCCTTGATCAGAATGCTTTTGCACGTTACAAATGCTGCTGCTTCGCCCTGAAGCAAACAGCCAGCTGTTAAAGGAGGGGTCGCCAGGGAGACTTTGAACCACCCATAGGCAAAACTCCCACGAGCCAAGAAATCGAAGCCACCCGTATATGCCCGGCACAGACAGCTCACACGCACACTTTCCGTGTTTATGGATCGGAGGATTCACTTCCCTTCATATCGCCCGCTTCATTCATAATGGGGGTGGGGGGGAAGCTGAGCCGGAATTCGAAAGCCGGATTTCTTTCCTAAACCTTAACACTGATCTTATAAAAGTTTCCTTTTGGGACGCAACTTCCGGATTTCTTTTGTTACTCTGTTTTGTTTGCGCACTAGAGCAGAGGTCCTCAACCTTGGCAACTTTAAGACTTGTGGACTTCAACTCCCAGAATTCCTCAGCCAGCCAAGCTGGCTGAGGAATTCTGGGAGTTGAAGTCCACAAGTCTTAAAGTTGCCAAGGTTGAGGACCTCTGCACTAGAGGATCGAAAGAACCAGCTGGTGACCAAGGCAAGGGGAAATCTAGGATTTTAACAAAGTAGAATTCCGCCGCTCCTGGGAAATCCTAACAAGGTTTTGAGAAAACAAGATATAACAAGGGAGGCCAGTTACGATTTGATATGGAATTGACTGGTTCAAATAAAAATTTGAGGTGACGCATGGTTTCCTGTATGGTTATGTCTTATTTTATAGTGCTATGCTGAATGCAGAAAAAAAGTCAACCCATACAAGTGGACCTCATGTTACAGCGTATCTTATATCATCATTCTCATAATAGTGAATTTCTTGAATAACTTTCCACTGAACTGGAAATGATAGTTGTGTTATTCTACATTTTTTATCTCTATGAATATTTTGTGCTCCAGATATTGTGGTATTTATTTTCCAGTCGAGCGGCCTCTGCTGTTTAGAATGATGCACTTTATATCAGTATGAGAGCAGACTGCATCAAATGTTCATTTACAGTACTGCAATGGATAGAGAAAGATTGAAAAATACTTAGCATATCCTTTTTATTAAGATTGAAGAAGTTGCAAAACAAATAGTAAATTTAGGCCCCTGAAGGGATCCTAGTATTTAATTCTGAGTTATATTTCAATGTGATATAATGTGGAATTTTCTGAGTTGCTAACAATGTTGCTTATAAATTAATACTTGTAGGGGCAAATTTAATATAAATTTAAATTAAAAAAAAATCTAACGATTGGAAAGATAACTTGTGGACTGCAGGCAGTTATTTAAAACCCTTTCTCATTTGCCAGGAAAGATTATTATGATGTAATGTAAAATTATGTCACTGAATTTTGGTAGAAACTGTATGTATGCAATATAGTGTAATAAATATAAGAATATAGCGTAATATAATATAATCTTAGACTTACAAATTTAGGGATTATGAGGGACAATTTATAGTTAACACTTTCCTATTCAAAACTCCAAAGTACTTCCATGGTGAAAGTATTAGCCAGTAACATCATCATTGCCTGGGGCACACTCAGCTGGGGGTTCCTTTTGTGTCCTGTTAAGTGGTACCCATTTATCTACTCGCAGTCGCTCCTTTTCAAACTGCTGAGTTGTCAGAAGCTGGAGTGTGTGACAGCAGCTTACCTGTCCTGCAACAGCAATTTGGTCTTGAAAGTGAGCCTGCTGATTGTCAGCTCAGCATCCTAACCTTGTGAGCCACCATGCTCCTAACTTATAGTAATACGTGTATTGAAATTGGCCACTTTTAAAAAAAAATACTTTTATAGTTTATATTTCAAATATTTAATAATATTTAATATTTAATAACTCAAGGCAGTGAACATACCTAATATTCCTTCCTTCTTCCTCCTGTAATGCTGAGCTGAATGAAAGTGACTGGCCCAAAGTCATCTAGCAGCTTTCATGCCCCAAAGGCAATAGTGTCCTAGTTTCTAACCTGGTGCTCTAACCACTATACCAGTGATGAGGAACCTTTTAGAGACCGAGTGCCCCAAACCCGCCCTCACCCCCCACTCCGCTCCCCTCCCTGCCCACTCCACCCCACCCCATACGTTCCACCCCCGCTCCACCCCACCCCACCCACCCGCGGGGCCACCCACCACCTTCACGGCCTGCTGCAGATTGCCCAGGCGGTCCAGCAGTGCCATGGCAGCCACGCCCAGGCGGTCCAGCAGTGCCATGGCAGCCACGGTCCAGCAGTGCCATGGCAGCCACCCCACCCACCCGCGGGGCCACCCACCACCTTCACGGCCTGCTGCAGATTGCCCAGGCGGTCCAGCAGTGCCATGGCAGCCACGCAGTGCCATGGCAGCCATGCCCATGCCCTGCAGCATCAACTGCATGTGACAGGCCGCGAGGGCGGAGTCTTGTCCCCATTGCCTGACTGCCATGTCCTTGGCTGTGCTGCTCTGCGTGGGCAGCGCTCAGGGGCTACTCTCCAGGGGGGCTGCTGGTGAGGAGGGGGCCATGGGGGGAGGTGGGGCTGGGGCAATGGCACATGTGCCCACAGAGAAGGCTCCGAGTGCCGCCTCTGGCATGCATGCCATAGGTTCGCCACCACTGCACTATACCAAACTGGCTCTATATAATTTCCTTTTGATTAATGAAGCACAGTTCACCAATTCCTATCTGCACCTGCAATCAGATTACAATTGATTAGAGCAAATGATACCTGGTCAGAAAAGATCCAGTGAACCACTGGACTTTTCCCCTTCTTTTTTTAAGCATGTTCACAGATGATTTTTTTTTCTTTTACTGGGTAAACACTCAAAGAGTTCCATCAGTTTTGTCTTCTAGCCCAAATGACAGGAAGATAGGTACACTAGTGGTGTTATTGTTCTTCATCAATCCACTTCTGGATATACTGAACACAATGTTTCATATATGAGAAAGAGTTGGAAGGGCGGGGGGTCACACAAAAAGCCTATCACTCAAAATTGTGTGTGGTCAGAATTTTTGCTTTCCCAGCATGAATAGGAGGTATAAAGAAGCAGGGGATGCTATCAATTGGAGGGTTTCGGTAACCACTGACTGTTCAGCCAGAAGGCCTGACCAGGATAATTACCATAATTGCCAGGGCAAGCCACTAGAATATAAAATGAGAGCAAACCTCATTCTCCCCCTACTAATACTAGCACTGATGATATTATCTAGTTTGGTAATGAAAAGCCTACAAGAAAACCGCCAAGGTTCAGAGAACACCAAGGATCCCACAGTTCAACCCTGAGCTACAAATACTCTCTTTTGCTGATAATTGCCCCAGCTTAGGGGTAGGCAACCTTGGCTCTTTTATGATTTGTGGACTTCAACTCCCAGAATTCCTGAGTCAGCATGGCTGGTTCAAGAATTCTGGGTATTGAAGTCCACAAGTCATAAAAGCCAAGGTTCCCTACCCCTGCCCTAGCTGAAGAATGGATGGTAATCTGGACAGTAATGTCTCAATTCAACTTCAGCTCCAGCTATTATAGCAATAGGGAAAGCAATTTAAGGTGGCTGTGCAAAATAGCCCTTTGTATACCACATAGAGAAGGGGCCTTGATAGATTGCCCACTCAAGTTTTTCAATTGCTAGTGGGAAATTTTGTTTACAGGAAAAATACAGGAAAGTGTTGTCAAATCTTAAAGTCTATCACATGGATTACAGTAAATATACATTTTCTACTGCAGGCCAACAGAATTCACATTTGTTTATGCAGTTGAATTCTGCAAAACTGTTTCGGTGGATACTTGCATAGAGTTGAGAGACCCATTTGCAGGTGATAACATCGAGAAACAAACGTGGTTAGTTTCAAGTGGAAATCTGCTTGCCTGCAGAATTTAACTTAAGCCCATTTCTATCCTCAGGAGCATCGTTTGCGATACGGTTCTGAGGTCGGAAATACCACTTGAATAAACGTGTTGGCCTTTAAGGTAGCACTAGATCAGTGTTTCTCAACCTTGACAATTTTAACGCATGTGGACTTCAACTCCCAGAATTCCACAGCCAGCAATGCTGGCTGTGGAATTCTGGGAGTTGAAGTCCACATGCCTTAAAATTGTCAAGGTTGAGAAACACTGCACTAGATTCTACGATCTTCTACAGAGTGAGGGAGATGCTCTCTTTCAGAGGAAACAAAGGGCGAGCGTCTCTCTCATTGCCCAAGCCAGGTGAGCGCCATCCATCCCCTTCAACCCACGGCGCGTTCGGTTTGCAGATCTCGCGGCGCCTTCTTCACGCGACGCGCACTCTTTTCCCGCCATCTTGAAAGGACGCACGCAGAAAGCTTCCGGACCTTGGCCCCCGGCGCGCATGCGCGTTCCGCGCGGGGTGGTCAAGCGAGAAAAGGGCGTAAGAAAGAGAGAGAGAGAGGGGCGAGAGGCCTCGGGGGGCCTTTTATGCCGCCGGTGCCTGTGCGCGATGTACCGTCCCGGTTGCGGCCGCTCGAACATGATCTCCTCCAGCCGGCCCAAAGACAACAGTAGCTCAGGCTCCCGATGTTCCCGATCCGGTGCTTCCACCACCCCCACCACCGGGTCAGCTCGAGGCCGTAGCCCACGCCGCTCCCGTTCTCCATCTCCGCGGGGCCGCCGCCAACGCTCGCCATCCAGCGGTCGCTCTTCTCGTCGCTCGCCATCCCCTCGTCGCAGTAGTAGGGTACGCTCTCCGTTAGGGGGGAGTCGAGGAAGTCCGAGGGGTATTGCCTGGATAGCGGCCATTTGAGGATTCGGCCTCGGAACACGCGCCCCGCATTCCCACGTTGGTGGTAACGGTTCCCTACCCGTCTGCCGTGAGGCTGTCACGCGTTCGCCTCCAGAGCATCCTTGATTTCGTTTTATGTCCCGCTTCCCGCCCGCCCGCCCGCCCAGACTTCTCTTAATACCCCGCGTCCTTGGTTTGGGCTGAGCAACGATTGCAAGCTTGCGTGTAGCAAAGTAATTCCGCCACAGCAACAGCTTTAAAGCAAATCTGAAGGGGCTCTATGGAAACCAGGAAAAAGTGTCCGCGTGTTGCCAAGGAGGAAAAACAATCACACGTTGCCGAAGTTCGCGCGGGCTGCCGAGTCAAAATGCGCTTCGCTTAATTTGTGCCTTATCGCGTTGTGTTTATCAAGCCGTTGTGGTTTGTGGCGGATGTGTTACGCGAATTCGGGCGATTAATAAAACTTAGCGATGCAAGCCATGACTTAAGTGTGTTGTATGAAGGCAGCTAAAAGGGTTGTTCTTTTCACCTCTAAATGGCTACTTTAGCTCAGTGAGGTTTACACAGTACTGCCAGACAGGTGGGATTCCGAAGTAATTTCTACAAAACTAATTATGTAATTTTTATTTCCCTTTGGGTTACTTTGCCTACTCTGTTCAGTATTGTTGCTACTTGGCAGTTCTAAACTCTCAAAATCTTTAGTCTTTGGTATGTTATCTTTTTCTGTAAAGAAAACTGGACATATAGTGCAGTCAGAAATGTTAATTAAAACAATTTCTTGTGTTAAATAGGACTCATTTTCTAATAAGAATTTTCTGGTTTCATTATGTGATATGTCTAGGCTCAGTGCAATATGTGAACTCATTATTCAACACACCTTGCTTAAAACAAGTCAGTGTTTAACATGATTAAGCATAATGCTATACTGCCTTTGGCATATACTTTATTCTTCTATTTTTTAATCTAAAAATATGTCATTAGCAAAATGCTTAATAAGGACTGCTTAGAGGTTAGATATCAGTGTTTTGTAAATCACAGTTACAGAAAACGTTAGATTTTTCTATGGAAAATCTTTGATTCTTTTATGGAAAAGAATATCTTCACAACCGTTTGCACAGACAGCTGTGAGGATAGACACTGAAATTAGGGACAGCCATGTGTGCATGATATTTACTAAGAAATCACAGGTTCTGCAATTGTGTGCCACTTATGCACCACTAATGTGTGTGGCTGTTTACTGAGATTTTAGAGTCAGTGTCTTGTAGGGTTTGAAATAGTAATAATTTACTTTAATTTGGATGTTCTACTGAGATTGTAGATTATAAATACTTCTATGGCTTTATAAAGGAGAACTTAATCATTTGTTCAGAAACCATAAAAGAAATTCAGTCTATATTCTAAGATGAGGCATTTTGTAATATGGTTTGATGTGTTTAAATCCATAGTCTAGTTCAGATTGTGGGAAGAAAGGAATGCCTTATCACAAGTTGTAATGTAAACATGATTTGTTTTTAATTGCACAAAACAAGGAAGAAAAGAGAGGTTTGCTTGCCAGCACAAAATGTTCTGATTTTCAAATTGTAAGCAAGAGGGAGTGATACGTTGAGCATACTTTGTTATGACACCTGAAGTGGATTTATTGTCTGAATACCATAAATCAGTGGTGGCGGGTGCCAGAGGCGGCACTCAGAGCCCTCTCTGTGGGCACGTGCGCCGTCGCCCCAGTCCTAGACCTTCAGCTGGGTTTTATAAAACCTTTTCGCTTTAGGCCTCCGCCGCCGTGTGCAAAAAAAAAAAGGTTCAATCAATCAGTCAATTTCAACTTCTCGCGGGGAAAAAAAAGATCTTGCAAAGCTGGAATTGATTGATTGAACTTTTTAATCCCACCCAGTCTGCCGTTACCACCGCAGCCACGCCCACCCAATGGGCCACACACCAATTGGCCACATCCAGCCAATGGGCCACACCCACCCGGCACCCGACGATGCATAAGTGGGTTTTGGGTTGCAGTTTGGGCACTCGGTCTCTAAAAGGTTCGCCATCACTGCCATAAATAGACTATGATATTATGTAAAAGTAGTTAGGGTTAAAGTAGTTGTATAATATTTTTTACCCCATTCACATGTCTGATTTTCATAGTCTGCTTGAACCAGTCCCTGCAGGTTTTTTTTTTGCAAACTTTCAAAAGTAGTTTGCCATTGCCTCTTCTTAGGGCTGAGAGAAAATAACTGACTCAACTGTCTTTGTGCCTAAGGCAGGGCTAGAACTCAGTCTCCCAATTTCTAGTGAGATGCCAGAACCACTACACCAAGCTGGCTCTCACTTTTATAATATATAGATCTGAATTACATACCTACTGTAATAAAATATTTGTTGGGATCTTACAAGAAAGAACCCAGAGAATAATGAACCTCATACTTTTGGGATCTCTTGAGTGTTATAATTCTTTCAACCAAATGAAAGATTCTTGCTTAAAGTCCAAAGTATCAGATGAATTCAGTGGAATTTCTTTTTGTGTATCCAGTTGAAAATGAGTGATCCAAGTTATTGATTTAATCATTGTACCATCCATCCAAACTGAAACAGTAATGTAAATCACAGGTAACACAGTACACTAAGGCATCAGATGTCATTTACAACAGGGGTGTCAAACTGCTGACCCACGGGCCGGATGCATCATAGCAAAACCGCCCCATTGCTGGCAATAGCAAAAAAGTTGCAATACGTCGCGACACGTCACGTGACGTTGCGAGTTTGACACCCCTGATTTACAACTACAGTGGCTGAATTTACACCACATGCTAAACCAACCATATAACTCAGCATAATACAAGAATCCAGATAAGATTTTACTTGTTTACATTATTTCTGTATAGCCATGTTCTAGAGAAAATGGAATGTTTTAAAAGCGGGACTGAAAAATCCAGTGATAACTTGCATTCCATCTAACTCAAAAGTTAAAAATACACTCTAGCTACAAGAGAAGGGGCATAAATCTATTTTCAGTAATATTAAGGAGTTAAAACAGCTAGGTTTGTAATCCTAACTATGATAGTGCATTACACAAATGTATTGAATTGGTGATATTTATGAATTCGTACTCGGATTAATGATAAGTTTATGTAGATTAATGAATATTTCTGAAGCAATGTGCACTTTTTTCTTGTTACAACCTTGTTAATTGTCCACCTGCCTTCAACCACATCCACTGCAGTTTTTCCATTTGGGGTTTTACTATATACTTCTGCTCAATGTACCTTTAGATTTTGCTTCTGTCACTAAATTATAATACTGAGGCTGTACAACTCAACTTATAAATTAGCATCTCAGGAAATATAAAGGTTTCCCCTGTCCAGTCATATTCGACTCTAGGAGATAGTGCACATCTCTGTTTCTTAGCTCAGGAGCCAGCGTTGTCTGAAGACACTTTCCATGATCACGTGCCCAACATGACTGTATGCTGAGGTGCACGAAATGCTGTTACCTTCTCACCAAAGTAGTACCTATTTATCTACTCGCATTTGCATGCTTTTGAATTGTTAGGTAGGCAGGAACTGCGGCAAGTAACAGGTGCTCAGCGCATCACACAGCACTCAGGTCTCGAACCGGGCTTTAACCGCTAGGATTTCAGTACATAAGACTAATCAAGCTTCCTTGAAAATAGTTTAAAAGATTTACATTATGCAGATATAGTTACAGAAAATATCCAGGGGATTATTTTCTAGATAAACCATAGGATTAATATCATTTTTTCATTCATTTCATATTCAATATGTGTTTTTCCTGCATATAATTACCTGTTTTTTCTTTTAAAAAGTATTTCTGAATAACTTTCCAAAGCCATTGTGCTCCCAAGGTGGGTTGTAATATACATTAATCAACTCATGTTACATATACAGTAGTTGTTTTAAATAAAATTTTTGACAACAGATTATAGCTTCAAAATGCCTATAGAAAGTAGCAGCTGTAGTGGTCCAGTAAGTATTGCTTTTAACAACATTAATTATATTAATATTTGTGGATTTACATGCTTGCATGCATGGGCAGAAATACTTTATTCATTTTAAAGAAAATATAAAATTGTTTTTCTTAATTTAAAACTTATTCAGTGCATGTATAAAACAGGACATCAAATAAGATAAATCGGATTATGCCCATACCATTTTCTATGGGATGTAGTACTCTGTTGGTCCACATTTTACACATCTTTCTAATTTGTCATCTTGTTAACTAGAAATATTTTTCTAAAGAATTACGTTCTTTGTATGATCAAATTCAGACTATATTTTTTAAAAATTAAATATTTTGAGTAAAACATAATCATTTTTGACTCCTTATAAAAAGGATTCCAGTTGGTCAAAGAACATGACTGCTTTGTCCAATGAAGCTGGTTTTCCTGAAAATTTTGAAAAGAAATTTTCTGAAATAATCAGCATATTTTCTGATTTCCTAGGAAATGATCTAATTGAACCTGTTTATTTTAATAAAGCTTTATAATGCAGCTTATATTTTTATAATATGTGATAATGCAGCGCAAACATTTTATCTGGAATACTTGAGGGAAAAATGAAAGGACTCGGTGTGATAAGTATATTGTTGATTTTTTTAAAATGTAAGCACTTAAAGACATCATTTTGCTGTTCATCAGAGTTAAGTCATTTTGCAGTGAGACCGTGTTGAGACTTAGTGTCCTTATCATTATTTTTTAGATCCATTTCATAAAGAGACAAATCTGAATCAGAATTACTGGAATGATGTTTTACTGTATTTCTCAGTTTTTTTATACTGTTCCCATTCTTCCTACAGTATTTACAGTTTTCTTTGCTCCTTCAATGGCCTTATTATAGTGATTCATTACACTATTTTCCCACAAAAGGCATTATTATGACTCAGAAGGTATCAAAACACATAAAACATCTAACTTATTTCACACAGTTTCACTTTCCCTGTTTTAAAGGGAAGAAAGTTAACACTGCTTATGTATTTGCTGAAAATGAAATAATCATAATTTTGCTTTTATTTTTACTTTGGTTTTACTCTGTTTGAGAGAGAGGGAGAGAAATAGAGAGATAATCAAGGGCCAAATTTGCTTAACTCTATATTTATAATGGCATCTATCTATTGTAAAAAATATATATGAAATATATGTATTTTCTGCATATAACTGAGGCACTAAGTAATTTTCTGTGGAAAAATTCCCAACCTTTATAATTGACTCTATTACGTATCTGAAGTTGAAATATTGAATTTAGTTATTGCTTGGGTTGTGGCTTTTGTGTGTCTTTTGTATGCATTTAGTACTGTATTGATTTTAGTATGCATGGAATCTACCTAGGGAATAAGAACATAGAACTATTGATACAATAATGCCTTTATACAGGTAGTTTCAATTTACTTCAACTCATTTAATGACTATTAGAAATTACAATAGCACTGGAAAAAGTAACTTATGACCGCTTTTCACACTTACGACCTTTGCAGCATCTCCATGGTCATGTGATCAAAATTTGGGTGCTTGATAATCATATATTTATGACAGTTGCAGTGTCCTGGTGTCATATGTTTACCTTTTGTAACCTTCCTAGCCAGCTTCTGATAAGAAAGTCAATGGGGGTAGACAGATGCACTTAATTACTGCATTAAACTTCAGTGATTTGTTTAATAACTCTGAGAAAAAAAGGTCATAAAATGGGATAAATCTTACTTAACAACTGCCTAATGGAAATTTTGGATTAATTGTGGTCGTGAGTTAAGTACTACCAGTATGTGGTGATTACTGTATACAGTTCCTGTATGTTAAGGATATTCTAGAATTACAAAACAAGCAGAAAGTAGCATCCAAAATAACTTCAGGGAAGAATAGGTTCCCTACAAGAAGAATCCGGAGAGGAAATATTACATACAGTACATAAAATCCTGCATGATGTAGACTCCTCCAGAGTTGCTGCAACAGTGAGATAGATGAGAGACAGACCAGACAGACAGACAGATGAAAACAAAAGTTACACTCCCTCACTCAAAATGTTATGACTCCATTGAAACCAGAAGGGTATTTAGGAAAGCTGTCCTTGAAGAAGAAAATGTTTTTTGCACAATGCACTTTTAATCTCTGCTACCAACAGATATGACAGATGTTTTGAAAGGGCACTGTCAGCTTTATGTAGCATCAGGGTTTTGATTATGGTTACAAATAATTTTTGGCTCTTTGCTATCTACAGGATGCCTTAAATATTGTGGCTGGGAAACCACAGTAGAAATTTAATGTATATATAATGAATACATATCATTTAACAACCCTTCATGTCTATAGATTAATGTGTTGAGAAAGGAATTGTGAAGAAAAGACAGGTTAGATTAAAAAAAACAATACTTATTTCAGTTTCAACATTAGAGATGGTTTTCTTAGAAATGGAATATTAAGTAAATTATAGTGTTTTCACAATGAAAAATTTTCTGTCTCACATTACTGCTGCAAATACAAAATGGGAAGTTATAATTATTTTTAAAAACATTATTTAAAAATTATTTCTATTTTATTTGCCTCCTCCATACTGTCCATTCATTTTGGGTACTTAAAAATAAAGCAGTTGACAATTGAAAACTCAACACCGCCTCCAAGTCAGCATAATATAACTAAAATATAGTTAATCACTGCCAGTTGAAATGGTCACTTAAGAATGAGAGCCTTCAAAACTGCCTGGAATGCTTTAATCTTTATAAATGGCTTATAGCACTTGAAGATACAGGTAGTTCTTGACTTACAACTGTTTGTTTAGTGACCGTTCAAAGTTACAATGATACTGAAAAAGTGACTTATGACTATTTTTCACACTTATAACAACTGCAGCATCCCCAAGGTCACATGTTGATCAAAATTCAGACACTTGGCAATTGACTCATATTTATGACGATTGCAGTGTACCAAGGTCAGGTGATCACCTTTTGCGACCTTTGAGTCCGTATTGACTCCTAGCAACTGCCTGGACAAATCTCTGCAGTTTTCTTGACAGGGTTTCTTGGAAGTGGTTTGCTACTGCTTCATACCTAGGGTTAAGAAAGACTGACTAAAACAGTGTTTCTCAACCTTGTCAACTTTAAGATATGTGGACTTCAACTCCCAAGAACCCCCCAGCCAGCATGATAGCTGAGGAATTCTGGGAGTTGAAGTCCACACGTCTTAAAGTTGACAAGGTTGAGAAACACTGGACTAAAACTTACAGTTTCCAGCTTGGTCCCTTAATCACTACACCAAACTTAATTGCAATAATATTATATATTCTGGTTATATTTTGATTTTTTTTTTTGATAACATAGCCTATATGATAGAATCTTACTTTTCTCTAATTACAGAGACATTCCCCAGGTCAATGCTCACGTTCCCCAGGTCGGTGCTCACGTTCCCCAGGTCGACGCTCACGTTCCCCAGGTCGACGCTCACGTTCCCCAGGTCGGCGTTCTAGAAGTCAACACTCTGAATCTTCAGTGGAACAGAATTTGCGGATCACTGTTGGCAATGATCGTTATGGTATTGATACACCTGAGAGAAAGAGGTTATGTGATAGGCTGGGCTCACCGGTTGATAGCCTGAGTGATGCGGATAGGTAGGTTTATCACAATTATGTTTCTTCATGCTTTTCCATGCTTGATATAAAACACCACAATCTTATAAGATGTAATAACAAATAACATTTGCCAAGCAATATTGTGAATTCCAGATCTACGAGAGAATATTTAGTGTACTTTCTCAGACTGATTCCAAAATGAATAGGACAACTCATTCATACAACAAAAATGGTATAAGTAGTAGTAGTACTGTTAATAATACAGCAATGTAGTATTTCAATAAATTTCAATAAATTTAAAAAGAATTTAATAAAAGAACACATGTGTTAGTATTATAATCGGTCGTTTGACAAAGTCCAAAAGAGAATAACATTTTCAGTATAATATCAATATTGAGATTTTCATTAAAGATAGATTTGTCCCTTTTTTGTATATTAATCAAATAATGAAAGCAAATGTTCTGTGTTATGAGTACAAAAGTATATATTCACAATAATGTTATTTGAATGTGTAGTACCAGTCATATTAAATATATGGAACAAGTTATCAATTACGTATAATGTACATTTTTGGGTTGATGGGTATATTTGGAAGTTTGTTAGTTTGTTAAGAATGCTCAGTGGGAGATGGTGCTTGACTGTTCACAATATAATGGTTTAAATCTATCCTGGATGATTGAGTCTTCATTTGCATGTTGCTTTTCATTTTGGGGAGAAATTCCCTGCAGTCTGTCTGGCAAGAGTTGGTTTATTCCAATGACTCTTTGATTCTCTGCCTACCCAGATTTTTATTTTGACTGAAGAAGTTACTTGAATGAGTAACGAAACATCTCAGTTTTAATAAACTTTGGTCCAGTTGCCATGATTTAACCTTTTTGGATAATTACTAAAAAGCAAATGGCGAAGATGGTCCCTACCATTCCCAGCTTATGGTTGTCTTTTATGTGGCAGATGTGCAAATAAAGCACTGGGCTGCTGTTGGGTTCTATTTTTATTTTCCAAAACTGAAAATAAATTTTCATTTAATAAATAAATATTCATTATAAATATTGATTTCATTTATTTTATTTTTTATTTCATTTCATAATTTTCCAAGTAGAAAGCAATAGATTGTAAATAGCATTTATTTGAATAGCATCTATGTAAATAGCTAAAATGCATTGAAAATATTTCTGTATTTTGACGACTGAGCAAAATTATTTGTTGGTGGAACTCGTTCTTCATCTTTAATCAACAGTATTGTTATGAAATGTGTCGTTTTTATCAAGTGGATCCTTCTCTTAAGAAATAAGCAGTAAGAGCAGATGTGGAACTGAAACCATTTTTTTTTTAACTTGACAAGATGGGGAGAAAAATGAAGAAGTACTCTTAATGAATTTCCTGTCTCCTGGTGAAGGTTTAGTAATTAAAGTTTACTAAATTTACAGGTGCAAAATCCTATGTAGAAAATAGATTACAGTTTAACAGAATTCAAACATCCTGTTTTTGTAAACCAATATATGGGCTGTGTTTCATCTGCAGATGGTTTTTACTATTAGCAATTTTCTATTTGCAATAAGATTATAGATAAAGGCATGTGCAAAATATATTCAGAAAAAAAATCTTTTGAATAGCATGAATCTGTGATATAATGGTAAAATATTTCCTTTTGAACACTGATAACATGATGCGTTTGCAATGAAAGTTGCTTGGTGATCTCTGATCAAATGCACGTTCAAATAGAATGGTCATTTAACATATTTCAGTGCTGAAAATGAAAATCCCTTATTCCTGGGGAAGGTTTTATTTCTAATCAAAAGTGTTGATTTTCTTTTTTTTTTAAAAAAAAACCATGCAGGTAGTCCTTAACCTATGATCACAATTGAGCCACAAATCTATGTTGCTATGCAAGACAGTTGTTAAATGAGTTTTGCTCCATCTTATGACCTTTCTAGCCAGAGATGTTAAGTGAATCACTGCAGTTGTTAAGTTAATAACACGGTTGTTAAGTGAAGTTGACTTTTCCATTGACTTTATTTGTCAGAAGGTAGCAAAAGGTGATCACATGACCTCAGGACGCTGCAAAACTGTCATAAATATGAACTACCGTAGTTGCCAAACATCCAAATTCTGACCACATAACCATGGGGATGCTGCAGTGGTCATAAGTCACAAACGGTATTGTAACTTTGAAAGGTCACTAAACAAATTGTTGCAAGTTGAGTAGTCCTTGGCTTACAACCACAATTGGAATGGAATTTCTATTGTAAGTCATGGTCATAAGTTGAGTCAATATATGACAATTTTTATGGTGGCTGTTAAGTAAATCACCTCAGTTGCTAACTGAATCACATAGTTAATAAGTGAACCTAACAAATAACCCAGGTTTTTTTTGCCATAAATTGGCCAAAAAGTTGCAACCAGTTGTAAATATAAATGCCAGTTGCCAGACCCCTGAATTGTGATCATATGACCATGGGGCTGGTGTGACAGTTGTAAGTGCGAATACAGGTCATAAGGTCCGTTTTTCTGAGCCCATTGTAAATTTGAACCAGTGGTCATAAGTCAAGGACCTGTAAAAGTATAAAGTGAGAAAATATGAGATACGAAAATTAAGCAAAACTTAGAAAAACTAGATTAAAAATAAGCGATAACTGAGAATTCAGCACAATGTTACAATATTATAGGTTCCTATTCAAGGCATGAATGAATTAGTCATATTTGTGCTTGTTTATTCAAAATGGTCAGCAAATTGCACCCAGTGAGCATGTTCTGCACCATTGTGCTATTCAGTGGGGTATTTTTTTTCTTTTTTTATACTGAGACAATCTTTTGATTTTCTTAAACCTACTGATGTTAACACATCTGCATACTGTAATGATCTATGTGGGAAAATATTTTTTACTAAGTAGCATATTTCTATTGGATGCCATTTGAATTATATTATTCTAAAGGAATTTTAATGTTAACAATAAGGGATACAAATTGCAAATGTTTTCCAACTCTAATTCTAAAAGGCTGGTTTTTTTTAAAAAAAATATTGTGGCTTCAGTGGAGACTACAACAGTTGGAGTTGCTCCAGCTAAAAGAAAATTTATTCATTAAACTTATTTATGTAATAGGTGAGATGAGTGGTGTAGAAATTTATAAATAAATACAAATAATGAAGAACAAGTATAAAAAATCAGTTAAAAATACAATACAAATGTAATACAAATAAAAATAAAACAGAAAGTCTGGAAAAGAAAAAGTCCATAGAATTAGAGATCTGGTAACAAAATATTTCCCCTCTAATTGAGATAGGAGCTAATTAAGAGCCACTGTATTCATAACTTTTGAATTTTGTTCCTGCAGCATCTACCAGTAGGTTAACAGCATCTACCTGTAGGTGGGATTAAATTCTATTGACATGTTAAAATGAAAGAGTGTATGCTATCATAGCAGGGGCAATGGAAAAAATGTGGGCAAGGATTTCTACAAAAGAGATTTACTGATACATCTCAATATTGCTGTGGTAAAGATGTCAAAGCAGTACTGTAGCTCTGTAGTGTGTAGAAAGGTGAGATTAAATAGCTACTTAACAGTTATGATTGGATTTTGATTAAAAACTGTCAGTAAGAATTCCCAATAGCTCCCAAATCTGTCTGCTGTGTTATATCGAAAAGTAGCTGGCAAATTTCTCCTTTGGCTCCCTTTGAACTTAAAAAGCACATATACTAGGGAGAGAGATCAAATATAGGTTGATAGAATTTTTTTTCTTTCATTGTGAAGGGGAGTTGTTGGAAAGAAATAATGTAGCCAGTGAACAGTTGGTATTAGAAGAACTTAAGTCCGTAAGGCAGGCAACAAATGCAGGCTCAAAAGTCCTATGTTTGATAAATCAATGCAGAACGAATAATAGAATGCCGTTGCTATTTTTATCTATATTCTCTGACTTCTAGCATGTGATGATAAAACCTCAGTGGTTTGTTATGGCATAGGATGGACTAATTTAAATGAAAGGTGATTCTAAATCAACAAGAGAAAAAACAGATTAAATGAATTTTCCCATTAATTGTGAAACAATGGTACAGGTCAAACAAGTACACTGCTATATCATTCTTCAAGTGAAAGTATATAAAATGGCTTTAAGAGGTAGAAGTGTGGTTGTTCAGCATAAACTGAAATTTCAGTATTATTGCTGGCAAAAGGACAATATCATTTTTATTTTTCTGCTAATAACTTTTATGCTATCTTTGAAAATCAAGATATTGTGGTGCACACTTTATGTAAGACCTAACCCCCACCTTGAAAATGTAAGGGATGTCTAGTGGATGGAATAACACCCACCAATGGATTTCCTTCTCTCCTTCTCTTGACAAATCTGCTTTAATGGCTGATGGACACTCCAGAACAGATTAAGAAAAAACAAAAGGTATAGATGGGAGGAGAGCAATAAAATAACCTGAACTGAATACAGAATTTAGTGAATGGATTTGCAGGTTATGCTTATGTTTTATGATTCCTCTGTTCATTAATAAATTAGTTTAGAACAGGGGTAGTCAACCTTGGCTCTTTTATGACTCGTGGACTTCAACTCCCAGAATTCCTGAGCCAGCTAAGCTGGCTCAGGAATTCTGGGAATTGAAGTCCACGAGTCATAAAAGAGCCAAGGTTGACTACCCCTGGTTTAGAAGTTATTTAATTGAGAACAAAACATTTTGGTTCGTGATAGGAAATGAATCTGTTGCGAAAGTTATATAACTTTTGGAATTGACTGTATTCGGTTGAAAGGAAAAACAAGGATTTATGCGCAAGCAGGCTGCTTTTCAACATATCTGTTCAACTGACACTATCAACTGAATGATGTTATAATTTGTGTATCTCTCTAATCAGGGATGATTTGGCTGATGGACCAATATTTAGCAGAAGCCTTTTACATCGTCGGAGCCTTGAGAGATATCCTTCTCGTGAGGAAAATCAGGCTAGTCCTTTCAGTAGGAGACATGATGAGGACTATCACAATAGAGATGTTTTCCTCCATCAATCAGACTATAGAATGAACTATGAGGATAAACCAAGAGAAACTGATAGGGAAGGTGAATTTAGAAAATCCTTATATGCATTGGACGATAGAGGGCGGGAGCCAAAACGACCGCGATATGACAGAGATGACAGATTACTTGATACGAACACGGAACCACAGGGTTTCTTGTCAGGAACACGAAAGTACCGTAAACGAAGTTTTAGTAGAAGTCCAAGTCCAACATACCTCAATGAAGATTTTCGAGAACTTGAAAGTGCTAGAAGGAAAAGAAAAGAAGAGGAACTGAGCAGAAATCTGAGTCATGAACTGTCTGACAATAGCTACGTAATGACTGGTTCAACTAATCCAACGAAATCTTCAGAACCTCAGTACCTTTATAGACCTGATGAGGCACCAGCAATGCCCAAAAAATCTATCTTGAAGAAACGTGTGGATGATCATTCTGTGCAGGTTTGACACCACTCCACTCCATTTTTGTTACTGTCAATTGTAATTTTTTTTTGTTTTTGTTTTAAATCTCTTTATGCTTAATTTCAACTGTTAGTTTACGGGCATATTTCTCTAAAATGCCATTGAAGATTGTTGATTTAGCGTGAATCCTTTATAATTATCAACTTGATTTCATTTGATCTAAATGAGGACCCTTTACTTGTGTTAAAATTTAGGGCATCAGCAGTCTGTAAGTCTTTCTTTAAGCAATTATGGTCATCCTAGAGAAGTATTTCTAAATTTTAGAACTTAAAGAATATATTATTTTTTAATGGCTACAAGTTCAGTTTCAATATGCTTAGGGATATTGGGGAAATGTCTTCCTTAGCCTTACAAAATTCCCAGAAAAAATATGCAAGCTTTTAAGATTCCTTGTTTACAAAAAAGTTGAATGAAGGAAAATACCCATCTAAATTTTTACTGAACTCCTACAAGATGAAAAGTGGAGCTCTAGCCACGCATACTCTCCAAACATATGTTTAAAAATACACATTCGCTAAACCAGTGGTTCTCAACCTGTGGGTCGGGACCCCATTTGGGGTCGATCGACCATTTCACGGGGGTCGCCAAGCAAGGCTGTCCGCCATTTTTTTTGTCCGCCATTTTCCCCCCCCTTTTCCGGCGGGTGCCTTACCTCCCTTGGGCTGGGCCAGCTGGTGGTCGGCCTGCTCCGTCTCTGCCGCTTGCCAGCTACGCCTCAGCTGGCGCAGGGGGCGGAACCACGCATGCCCGGCGCTCCCGGGCAGGGAAAGTCCTTGACTTACGACCGGTTGGGTAGTCCTCGACTTACGACTGGTTTAGTCCTCGACTTACGACCGGTTTAGTCCTCGACTTACGACCGGTTGGGGTTGCGGCATTAAAAAGGTTGAGAACCACTGTGCTAAACACAAAAAGTTTTTTAATGATGATAGAAGTATATATTAATAGATTTATCAGATAATATATATGTAAAGTATATATTTCAAAGGTTGTATTGTTGACTTAATTTGTATAATTCAAAATGTACAACTGATTACTTTTGAAATTCATAAAACTATCATAAGGAATTGATAAGCTGGTGTGCAGTAAACCAGGTTGTGCAGCCTTTTCCAGACGAATAGTCTCATGTAATCGTTAAGTGGCATGCCAAGAGCAGCACTCCAAAAAGTTGGTGGGCCAGGCTGAAGATGTATGCAGGACTAGAACAAATTCTAGACATCATTTGTGTGTTACGTTATTTTCCTAAATGGATGGCATAGTGGATTGGTCTTAGAGTCAGAGTTTTTGGTTCTTGCAAAAAATTAATAATTTTTCCCCCCAAAGCTTTGCCAAGGATTCTATTGCTTCCTTTTTTTAACTTTTTCACTGTCCTTTTTGTTTTGGTGAGATAAGCCCTTTCTAATCACTAGAATCACCACAGAAGGAGTAATCACTGCTAGAGTTTTCCCCCCAATTGTTTTCCCCTCAGCAGTCCTTTATTCTAGTTACAGCAACACTGGAACTGTCAAGTTTCTGAATGCTCTATCTGTGTTCGGAAGTGATATTTTTGAGGGCTATCATCTTCAAGGAACTCTCACACTTAGAACTTTGTCGTCGAAGAAAAACCTTTCTGTAATAACTTCTGTTCTTTGCCCAGATCCAGTGTTCATTGTAAAAATCAGTTAACATCTTTCACCAAAGCCAGGAGCTGTGATTAACCATCTTTTTGACCCAAACCTCCTGAAGGAGCCTTCCAGGAGGAGGAATGACTTTTTGAACATATGAGGAACTACTAAGATCTATTTCCCAACAGCATTGGATTACTGCTTTGTGTCATTTTAAGAGTCTGTATTAAGTTGCAAGATTTCTATTGCAACCATATCCAGATAGGTCTCTGTACATGACTTTGGCTTAGGAATTTCAGTGTATTGCTCTTTTGAGGAGCTAATAGCACACTCAACTATGAATGTAGCAGTTTCATCTGTATTTTCATCTGTATTTTCTCCAAGGAGAGACACGCACATAGTTCTGTTTCCTGATTTTTGAGACACTGCAAGCTGAATATTCAAATTTCTGCTTCCTTTGGCAAATGTATCTTTCAGAGGATAGTCTCTATCTGATTGCATTCTGCATATTCCTGCACAGTAAGATTATTTTGGCATGTCCCACTATAGGTGCCTTTCTTCACTGTTGGAAATGTAGCACGGGATTTACTGTGAAGGTACATTTTCTACAGTGGAGAGAGGGAAAGTGGCCTTCCTGTATTTATGTTTCCTTGGGTAAGGATTTGTTTTCTGTTCTTCCCATTTTTCCCTTTTCCCTTTATCCTTGGATATTTTTAACTAACTGGATGTTGGAGCTTTCTTCTGTTGATATTCTGAAAATGCAGAGATGGGCTTTCTATCTATAAAAGAGAATATTTATAACTCCGGGTTGAAATGAGGAGTCCTTGGTGCTCTCTGAGCTTGCTTGTTTTCTTGCAGATATTTCATTACCCAAACTACAGTAGGTAATATCATCAGTGCTAGTGACTAGCACTAATGATGTTAACCTACAGTAGTGGCCAACCTTTTGGGAAAAGTGTACATTTGAGGTTTGATGGTTAATAACACCACTTTTCTTTGGAGTAGTACTATAAATTTCCATCATAGACCTTCATAGGATGCCCCATATTATATTTTCTTATTCTGTCACATTAAGTATTATATCCAGATGTGCAACTTTGCAGAGGCTGAACTAACCTAGGATTCAGATTATATATTCTGCAAAAAAATTAATAATTATGCAAAAATGAAAAGAAAAATGAAGGCTATTGTCCTATATTCTAATTAAAATGAATATTATCTATAGATTCATGTAATATTATATAATTAATTTACTAATAAGTACATCAGTTCACTTAACAATAAAACATAGAAAACTAAACATATTAATATGTGCAGTCCAGAATTTTGATTGGTTTGCCACGTGGTTCTCTGCAATAAACAAACCTTAGATTATTAAACATTCAAAGAGCAAATTATCTATACACAAATATACGCAAATGTAAGTTTGTAACAAAGTTGTGGTTAATCAGGCTTAAGTGGTAAACTGATTAGTGATTTATATTGGCCTTCAGATCAGAGTGTCAAGGCTATGGAAGAAGAAGGAGAAGGAGAAAATTGGGGAAGAAGAACTTGTATTGATTTGCTTTAGTCTTACAGGATACACCAAAATAGGTCATGATGAAGAAAAGGAAGAAAATACTTATTGGGAGGCAGTCACTATTGAGGTCTAAATGCTTTATGTATAAGTTTTCTATTTCCTTAGGTCTTCTTCTAGACCTGTATTGTCATCCAGAAATTATCCAGAATCTGAGTATGAATTTATGGATATAATAGAGTGGCATACAAGAAAGCTATGTTCTTTCTATTAGCTTAGCAGAGAGATTGCACTTAAAAGGCTGGGCTTTGTTGAAAAAGCTGCTTTAAAAGGTAGTCTTTTCATCATGGTCTGATAAGTTTTAAAGAAGTGGAGGTTATACCTTGTAGGGACCGAATTACCAGAAGCTAAGACAGATTTAGAAAGATATTTTTCGAAAGATCCAGTCTGGTTCTTCTATATGGTGGAATCCTCCTACAGTCATCTGTTGTCATGATCATTCATTCATTCATTCATTCATTCATTCATTCATTCATTCATAGTATAGGCTGCCCATCCCAAAATATGGCCAACAAAAACAAAATAAAAACATAATATAAATGTAACACATTTTAAATTAACATTTATCTCAGTGTGTCATAATTTGTTCTAGATTGATCAGACTGATCCACTTTCATAACTCTACATTAGATATATTGCAAGTGTCATGAGTCTGATTAAATACTGCAAATACTGTATATTCTTGCTTTGACAGCAAGTGGTTAATTTCTTGGAACTTTTCTTCCCCATTGTAATAAAATTTATGGAAGTGTGAAGACATTTCCCCTTGAATGCACTTGTTCAGTTATTCACTTTCATAAAGAATGTCCTGAGAATCAAGGCTGTTCTCAGCCTTTCTTCTGGTCCTTCTCAGTTGGTCTGCATTACCTAGAATATACAAGTATCTAAACAAATTCTAATTCAAGGGTTGTGATTGTGGGACAAACATTTTCTATCCTCTACAATGAAGGAGATTATAGATCAGGGGTGTCAAACCTGTAACGTGACGTGACGCGATGTATCGTGACTTTTTTTTCCCATTGCCGGTAATGGGATGGGTGCGGTTTTGGCATGATGCATCCGGCCCATGGGCCGGCAGTTTGACACCCCTGTTATAGATATTCAGTATAGGCTGTTCAAGAACACCTGCTGTGTGTTGGTTTCAGGTTAATTTTATGTCTTTTAAAATTATAAAATATTTAAATTTATCTTTATTTTTAGGCAGAATCCACAGGCTCCTTGATAAAGTACAACAGAGAAAGAAAGATTAAATCTGGTCTTAATTTTAGATGGCATATTTGAGAAAGAAATCATGTAGCCCTTGATTTACGACCACAATTGGGACTGGAATTTCCATTGTAACTCCTGGTTGTAAATCAAGTTGGACCTGATTTTATGACAATTTTTATGGTAGTTGTTAAGCAAATCAAAGCACTTCCTAAACAAATCATATGGTCATAAGCAAGTCACATAGATATTAAGTAAATACAGCTTCTCCAATGGGTGTTTTTTGCCCAAAACTGACAAAAAAATGTTGCAAATGGAATCATGTGACCACTTGCCAAGAACTTGAATTGTGATCATGTGACCCTGGGGATGGTCCAACAGTCACAAGTGTGAGTACAGGTAGTAAGTCACTTTTTTCCAAGGTTGTAATTTTGAATAGCCGTTAAATGAACGGTTGTAAGTCAAGAACTACCTGTGTAAGCCAAATTAAATAATGTTAATTATTAAACTGAGGGTCTGTTTATTCTACAAACAGACATAAAACTCTGCCAAAAGAAATCTACGTTACTGATAGTAATGAACATATGGTAAAAACTAAATATTGCCTCTTAATGTTTAGAGAACAAAATAAAAATAGTAGATATTAATTTTTATTTGATTATGAAAATTTATATGTCTTCCCAATTCATTCTCAGTGACTCTGAGTGGCTTACAAGGATAAAATCCCAATACAAAAACAGTACAAAAAGCAATAGCCCCCTCCCCCTGGCAACAACAATCAAATGAGCCACTTAATGCGCCCCATATCTTTCTGGGGTTCCCAGGCCCATTGGCAGAACCATGTCTTCAGAGCCTTGTGAAAGAGTGTCAAAGTGGGGCCAATCTTATCTTAGTAGGTATATTACTATATTGAGGTCTTTTTTGCAACTGTATCTTTGGTTTTGATTTTGAAATGCAAATTTAGTATTAGTATTAGTATTCCTCCTTTGCTATTCCTTTGACACGAGCTTTTCTTCTTTTTTTAATATATATATATAGTTAGGAGATCCCAAATAATTGAGGATGAAGGTATAAGCATGAGGATCACTAAGCCAATTAAAATAGGCTTTGTGTAAGTGTTATTGAGGGCAACTAGACCCTTTTACTTGTCCTACATGGGAGAGAGATGATGATTACCAAGACAGTCAAAATGACACTATTTTTCTTGTATTATCAGTTTTATTTCTCAGCAGCACAACATTGAAAATTGATTGGACTGCATTGGAGCATGTTCCCATTATTCATCTGATACTTACCATTTTTTGCAACTCTCTGAGCATCTTTATCAAATAGATAATGTTGTGACTTTAGATATAGACTCAGATATAATTGTGCAATATCTATAGTTTACTGTGACAAAAATAACCACATCATATTTTGAAACATGATGAAACAGTTTCAACTTTTTCTTTTTCCAATTTCTTGTTTGGGTTTTAAACCAGAGGTCCCCAACCTTTTGGGCACCAGGGACTGGTTCCATGGACTGGAGAGTGTGTGACTTTGTGTGCTGCCTGCATCCTACGGATGAGGCTTTGCTTGTTTGTGTGGATCGGTTGCTGGCATGCTGCGACCTGATACTGGTCCACGTACTGGGGGTTGGGGACCCCTGTTTTAAACCATTGGCTATAATCCACTATATGAAGATGTTGTCTTATGAAATGGACTATTGGTTACATTCATTATGGAATGCAGTAACAAATGATTTTTTTTCTTTTTTAGCCGGAAGTCTTTTCTAGCAGTTCTTCCTCTATTAAAGAGCCCCCACTTCTTTCAAATCATTCTTCTTTGCCCCAGCGTAGTAGTGTTGCTCCTTTTTCATTGGAAGTAGAGAATTTCCTCAAACAATTCAACAAAAGTGCAGTTGCAGAGTCTACCAGTAAGGAAACGCAAGGCACTGAGCGTGACTGGAGACCATTTCCTGGTCTACATCAAAATACACTTCCTTCTGAACAAAACTCTGAGAAAATTTTAAAACAGAAAGAACCTCATGAGTCAACATCAGAATGTGTTGACCAGCCTGGTGATTTCCTGCTTCCTCATGAAAGAGCCAGCCAGGATGGAAGTGGCTTTTCACGCATTCTGGGCATTTTGGGGGTCATGGCAGACTCTAATAATACGGAAGAAAAGAGAAGAAACAGTTTTCCTGATGATCTTGAGGATGAAGAGAAATTTCTTTATGGTGATGATGATGATGATGATGATTGTAATATCAGCTCTCCCTCTACTCAAAAACTAACACTGAGTGATGGGAAGGAATCTGTAAGCCAAAAAGTAGGTTCTCCACCTCCTTCATCTGTAAAACCAGAAACATTAGATGAATCCAGACCAGAGTATGAGAAGATTCATAATTTGCTTAAAACGATTGGTCTTGACATTGGGGTGACTGAAATAGGTAAACTTGCTGCTCGTACTCAGGAACGCCTTCATGGAAAAAAGTCATCTCGTTCACCTGATCATTATTCAGTAGCTTCTTCCAAGCCAGAAATGTGGGAGAGGCACCGCAATCGCAGTGAAACTTATTCTCCAGAATCCAACCAGAAGCACACTCTCTCACCTACTGCTTCTTACCCATTATCTAAAGTTATACCCTCTGTTACAAAATCTGAGCACAACACAAACAAAATGTTAGGACAAGATAATCGTGTTGGCCCAGTTGAGCAATCTGTTCCTCCGATATCTCTAATTCCATCAGCTCCACCATCTTTTCCTAATTTGTCACCTACACCCACCTCTGTTTCCCAGTATAGACTTTCACGCTTTTCACATTTTCCTACACCACAATTACCACAAAACTATCCTCCTCCTACAATGGCACCTCCTGGCTATGATGCATATGGACACTACATGGCTTACGCAGCTTCTGGCTGGCCCATGTATGCTCAGCAGACTGATCCTGGGCTTACAGATATGCATGGGCTTGTCACACTAACGGTGCCACCAAATCCAACACGACCCAATCTTAGAGTTATTGAGACAGTTTCCACAACAAAAGGGACCCCTGATATCAAAAGAGATGACTCTGTGCTTGTGCAAATCCCCACAGTAGCTTCTTATTCAAAATTACATCCTCAGTTCTCTCAACCTTCACTAAGAGGTTCCAAGGAAAGAATATCTGATGAAAAAAACAGAGCTTCTAGGAAACAAAAGGTGGGTACTTTTATTATATATATATATATATATGTTTATATAAATATTTTAAATATATATTATTTAAAGGCCTAAATGTTGAACCATCTGTGTATATTTTTCAATTTCACTAAATTTTCTTTTTAAATTTTGCTTACATTATGGCTATTTTAAGACCATTCGAAAACCTAAGCTGCTGAACACAGTATAAGGCATATTGGATGGTTAGTCATGATACTGCTATATTTCATCTCTGCTGTGGGAGCTGCACTGGCTGTCAGTAGGTTTCTGAATAGAATGTTGGTCTCTTCTAGTATAGTCCTACACAAACAACTAGGAAGGCCTGCTAAGGAGGTATGGTGGAAAGGGGTGCAACAATAGACATTATCTGTAAAAGTCCCACTTATTTGGAATATCTTAGCCCTTGAAATAAAGATAGTTCCCAACCTCCTGGTATTCTGGAAGCAAGTGAATTTTTTACTTCCAGAAAATCTCTGGGGATTAATTATAACCAGCAGTGCCAAACTCGGTAAAATGTAGGGGCATTTATGCTGGGAGTTAAATTAAATTGATTGGGTTGCATTTAATATTTTAATTATATTGAATTTCATATGTAAGCTCTGTAAACTTGGTTTGGTAAACAAACCTCATAAATGTATTTCCATAATATGAGAAACAAATACTGTTTTGAACCTGGAGCAAAATAGCTTCACTTGAAATGTTCTATTGGAATAGTCAGGTTGGTTGTGTTTTCTGAGAAAAAAACTCAACATGTTCTGAGTTGTTTTATTCCAACTTTATAAAAAGATGTTCTGTTTTGAGCTTGAAATACTCAAGATATTCCATTTCGTGAACAAATAGTTCATTTAACGATTGTATTTTGTGACCAGAAACTTGAATATTTTTTTTATTGTAGGGACAAAATAGAATATTTTACTGTGGTGTCAAAAAAAGTTCATTTTATTTCAACCTTGAAATATTTTGAGCTAAAAATGTTTTAGACCCTGATTTCAAGGGATAATTAGTATATAATTAGAATCAAACAGACTAGATCAGGGATCCCCAATCCCCAGGGCATGGCCCACTACCGGGCTATGGCTTATTTGGAACTGGGCCGTGCAAGCGCAGAGCCAGTGCACACATACGCATGCTGCTCAACTTATGCAAGTCGAGCTGTGGGCATGTGCGCACCAGCCCACTGTTCACACTGCCCTATTCCCCTCTCCCCCCCCCCAACCAGGCTGCCAAGCTGCAAAGGTTGGGGATTGCTGGACTAGATCATAATCTTGGAAATATGCTGATTTATTTATTAAATTTGTACCCTGCCTATTTTGTTATCAAATGACTGGGCAGCTTACAAGATGATGAAAATAACAATGTAAAATATTAAAAGATTAAAATGATAAATATTAACATTAAAATTACCAATTAGCTAAGGAAGAAATCAAACACCCTGGAGGTGGGTTTTAAGTGAATTAAGTTCATGGTGAAAAACTATTCTGTACTTTAATTTCCTTATATTGTTGCTTGTTTTTCATTCAGTAGTGAAGAAAACCATTTAAAAATTGTAAAATTATAATGCTCAACTTGAACATAATACATTTGGGTTATTTAATACACATTTACAAATGCTTAAAGTATTTGTATTATGTTGGAATTGATTGATTCCAAACATGATTGCAGATACTTCAGTCCATTAATTTAAATAGGTTTAGATACACTTTATCCTGCATTGTTTGTGACTTAATTATATTTTAGTTACAGACCATATAGTGCTTCCCAGCAGAACATAGGTAATGCTAAAAAACTTTGATGTGATCCTTCACTGAAAAATAAACACAGATGCAACATGTAACAAAAGAGATGCTATCTCTGATAAAATCTAAATTTGCGTACTTATTCAAATGATTACTCAAAGTGATTATTAAAATCACTTGAATTCAAGGTGCAATGGACATTTACCACACTGATTTTTGCAATGTTGCTTTACCTTTTGCTAAGGAAGATGGTGGTTTATGCCTTTTTTTTCCCTTCAACACTTTTCCAGGTAATAGAGGAAATTGAGAAGTTGAAAGCTGAACAAGAAGCACGGCAAAAAAAACTACATTATCTCAGAGCTGAGTTAAACAGACTTTCGAAACAACAAGGTATTGTTTCTTCTCATGCCCCATCTTCCCTGGGATGTTTTTAAATAGAGTTTGATATTATATAGTCAGCTGGATTAAATGGGTTATGTTTGCTTCCTTTCTATTATATGCATCCCAGGCAACATTAGCTTGTTTTACACTCAGTGGTGCACCCCTTGTATTTGGGTGGGCCATGATATTTAATAATGTTAATGATTACTATCATTTTGCATTTGTGAACATAATTTTCTTGCCTTTTGTACTCAACCACTTCGTTTGATTCAGGGGAATTGCTGCGGAAGAAACGGAGGGAGAAGGACGGACACAAAGACCCCTTGCTAATAGAAGTCAACCGACTGCAAGATAACATTGTGAAGGAAATAACTCAGCTGAAGATGAATGCTGATGCTGCAGAGAAGAAACAGTCTGAACTTGACAAGGTAGCCCAGATCCTGGGGATTAATATTTTTGAGAAATCCCGGAAACTGTCTTCAGAAAGTAAAGACTCTTCAGAAAATGCAAGAATTCAGGAGAAAACTTCTGATCTAGTCAAGGTAAATTCTGAGTGCTGATACCATAGCCTGTATGAAAGAAAGGGCATTTTTGCCATCTATTCTAAGGAAGTGCAAATGTGTGTGTTTGTGCGTGTGTACACATGCACTGTACCTTTGAGTCAGTGTTGATTCCTGATGATTGCCTGGATAATTCCCTGCAGATTTATTTGTAAGATTTCAGAAATGGTTTTGCCATTGCCTCTTTCCTAGATTTGAGAAAGAGGGACTGGTCCAACTAATACAATAGACACTTTGTACAAGACTTGAAATATCATCCAGAATTCTAAATACAAATGGAGGGGAAGTGTTACACATCTATTATTCTATCTATTTTGAGATTGTGCACAATACAACATACAATCTTTCACTATTCCTTGTTTGGTTGGAATTACGCATATTATATTCCTACACATACATTGCATGTAGCTTTCCGCCTCCTATGTATGTCTTGTGGTTTGTATATTTAATTCACTGATTGCTTATATACTAATCATTTAGACAACATATCTGCGCCTCAATGGAAGTTTTTTCCTGTTGACTGAACAGCATCTGAATCAGTAATTCCAGCTCACTGAAACAATGACATTTTCATTGGTTTGACCAGTATATGATCTATACTGCAATTGGTCTCTCTGTTTGTCTCTTACACACACACAGACACTGTGTGTGTGTGTGTGGTTTGTATGTGTGATATTTACTAAAAGCTGATTTTAAGGAATTGTCTTATTGTATATCTTATAGATTTTTTTTTAATGTAGGAATCCAAAACTAATAGTGACAGATTCAGGGGAAAGAGTCCTAAGCCTATGGAATCTTCTTCACAGCCATTGCAAAGGACCAGTATTTATGACTACTATGATACAGGGAACCATTGGTGTAAAGATTGCAATACTACCTGTGGAACTATGTTTGATTTCTTTACACATATGCATAATAAGAAACATAGACAGGTAAGTGTCCAGTCATCAATTTGTCATTAATGTATATAAGCTATAAAATACATTTTTAATGGCAAAGAATTCTATGCCAACTAAGTATGCCTTTAAAAAGTTCATTTGTTTATTTAGCGTGGTCACCAAATTTGTTATATTTATTTAAAATTGACTGCATAGCAACCAGTATTGGACGTCATTATTCAATCTATATTTATCAATACACCATGCCACTAAAGCCTAAACTCTTATGGAAACTGAAGCTTTGTGGCATCTTATGTGATACGTGAAATCTCTTGTTTTTTGACCGATGCACTTGGGAATAAATTTGCTTATATATATTCTGTGGTGTCTGAACCATAAGCAAATTCAGCTGCCATTTATTCTATAGTTTAGATTTTTTTTTTCAATGTAGGAATCAAAAATTATTAATAAGAAATCTGGAAGAAAAGGCTGAAGCTAATAGAATTGACTATGTTTTTTGGGATTTATAATCAGCCGATTAAACCATAGCATCAGTTTGATTTGACTGCAGTCTGTGAGATGATAGAGTACATACATACTGATATGTTTTAACTTTTCATACTTCATTTGTAGTAAGTCAGGCTTGTCAAACTCGTGATGTTGCACGACGTATTGCGACTTTCCCCCCATTGGCGGCAATGGAGTGGGCGCGGTTTCGGCATGACGCATCTGGCCCATAGGCCGGCAGTTTGACATGCCTGTAGTAAGTTATAGTGGAGAGAGAGATTGCAATTCTTCCACATATACTGCTGATATCAATTTCTTTTTGACTATCTTCACTTTGACCAAAAGCCAAGCCCCTTTTTCATGTATCAGTCTATATGTTTTTGTCATTGTGCAAATAGACCCTGGATCCATATAACAGACCTTGGGCAGCAAAGACTCAAATTGAAACAAAGCAGGAAGTCACAAAACGAATTGACAAAATACCTGTTCCAGCCAAAGGTATGCTGTCTGTCTTAACTTTAGTTGTTCAAAGCACACTGTCACAGGCCATTGTAATGTTAAGCGGTGCACAACTTTGGTTGCTTATTTATTATTTATTTATCAAATTTATTTGTTGCCCATCTCATGATTCTGGCAATTCTGTTTACATTTTTTTCTAATTTTTTAGCAATTTTTTTCTATATTAATGCTTTACTTCAGAAGTAAGTAGGAGTGGAAAAGCAATTTATATTTGATCTGTATGCTGTATAATAAGGAATGATGGACAAAAGTTGTTTTTTTATTTAAAACTTTTATTTATTTAAATTTTATTTAAAATTTCTGATCAGATTATTCTAGTAAGAATTGGGTTTAGGATCCATAGTATAGTTTGCTGATATTTTAATAGTTGCTTTGTGCCTGTTAAATATTAGTTTCTTAATCTATTTTTGTGACTGAATCTTGGTGTGTGTGTGGGGGGGCATTTTAGGTTCTGAATTTCTTATCCCAGTCACTGGATATTACTGCCAACTCTGCAGTGAATTCTTTGGAGACCAGATATCAGCAGAACAACATGTGAAAAGTCATCTACATAATGAGAAATATAAGGTTAGTGTTCAGAATATTAGTTTTGAATAATTCATTGGAGCATATCACAATTAGTGCCATGCCCTTTAAAAACCATTTTGTTCATCTTGACTTCTGTTAATGGCAAAGGCAGGACAAAGCCATCTTTGGCATCTCTAGGTATAGCTGGAATATGATATTATCTGACCTTAGGGCTTAGGGCAGACATGTCAAACACAAGGCCTGGGGGCCGGATGCGGCCCGTGAAATGGTTTCATGTGGCCCGCGAAGCCATCCTGGAAACAGTGAGGGAACGGCCCCTGCTGCCTTGGCCCTGGCCCAGGCCGGCTGGGAGCCAATGTACAATTTTGTGGTGGCCATCTATGCTGAAACGCATTCAGTCTTAGCTCCATAAGCCCCCCCCCCCCCCGGCATGGCCTGAGAGGAACAGTGAGGCTCCTCCAGTGGACCATGCCTTGGCACTTGCCCTGGTCCCACCCCCTTCTGCCAGAGACCCTCAGATCTATCCCACTCCTGCCCAGGCCCCCACAGGCACCCTTGACGCGAACATTGTAGAGCTGGCCACCCCCACCCAGTAGGCCACACCCACTCCGTCCACACTCACCCAGTAGGCTGCAGGCCACCCTGGCCACACCCACCCGGCCCCCTGAGGGCAACCGCAATGCTGGTGCGGCCCTCAATGAAATTGAGTTTGACACCCCTGGCTTAGGGAGTTGTTACCTGCAAGTGCAAACTGTGCGGAAAAATCAGAAACGTGATTTCTCCATATCATCTCAATATTCTTAACTTAGTAGAAATTCAGAAAGTTTGTAATGCTTGTCTTGTGTGTTTATACTTAAAAGGTATAAATTTTGTTATTCCACCCCCCCCAGCCTCTTTTCCAGTAAATACAATTAATTCATCAGATAGTAGAATAAGAAATAGAATAAATTAAGAATCCAGACTTATTCCAATGGAGAATTGATGCATTAAGTAACAGTGCTGAAATGTTTCCTTCCACCCCACAGAAACATGTGGATGAGAATCCTCTCTATGAAGAAAGGCGAAATCTGGATCATCAGGCAGGATTATCTGTGATTCAGGAAACTGAACGCAGGCTGAGGCGGAAACTGTGTGAAAAACAAAAAGAGGAAAAAGATGAGAAGACAACAAAAATAACAAAGAAAGAAGAAACAAAGAATATTAAAGAACTAGGAGATGGGAATAATGAATATGAAATTAGTAAAAAGAAAGAAATCCCTAATGGTGAAAAATGTGGGATTAAACTTAAATTGAAAAAAGATGACAAAGAAATAGAAAAGAAGGAAGACAGAAAAGAGGAATCTGAAAAGGAGTCAAAACTAACAACTTTTGGAAAATTCAGTTGGAGAAAGAGTGAGAGAGATGAAAAAAATCAGGGGAAAGATGTAGCTGTTTCTAAAGAAGAGAGCCCTGAGGAAAGTAAAGATAAAGAAAGTAAGTCCCAAAGCGGAAAGCAAAATTCAAAGCCCATTGCAATTAAGTTATCTGGAAAAACGGTTATTCCACATACAAGCCCCTGGACACCAGTTGTTTCAACTTCATCGCAAGCCAAAATCCGCCCCAATTTACCAATCCCAGTGATGGTTCTAAGGAAGACTGCAGTTACAACAGTAAGCAAGCCAGCACCCCTCAATACTTTTTTGTCTATAAAATCTTCTGGTACCACTGCCAAACCTTTGCCGGTTGTCAAAGAGGGAAATCCAGACATTGTTTTGCCACCAGATATTATATCAAAAGCATTTGGGGGAGAAGTAGTCGTTTTAAAGGGATCACAGGAGGATGTAAAGGTACCTGAAGAAGCAGAGGAAGGGGATCATGAAAGTGAGACAAAGGCCGTGGAACAAGCAAATGTAACGAAGGCCCAGGAGCATGCAGAGGTAGTGGCAAAAGCTCAGGCAAAGGCACGGGAGCTTGCAGCAATGGTGAAAAAACAAGATGTCTCACAAGTGACAAAAGCAAATGAACAGTCTCTGACTTTTGAGAGGCCCCATAGGCGCCCTCCTCTACTGCCACTACCTCCAGGACCACCACTGTCACTATCGGTACCACAGCCACCACCAATAGTATTTGCCCCTCCACCCCCTCTGCCACCAAAGCAACTGGTTATTCTGGCAGATGATATGGCACCCGGTGTATCTGAGGATGATAAGAACATATTGGAGATGCCCATGTGTCCTCGCCCCTTGCCACCTCCATCTGTTTTTGGAGAGCATGTTAAAAACTTAAAGAAAAAGAACTCTTCTCTGGCTGCAGGTAATGCTAAAGATCTGTATGACATTTTTTACAATAGTAGTGGGATGAATCCAGCGGAGAGCAAGCTAGTGAATTCTGCAATTTCAGATAAAGGAAAATGGAATCCTACTGAGAAGGAAAAAAATGCAAACCTACAGGTGAATTCCAAGTCAAGTTGTAACCCTTTTTCAGAGGAATCCCTTTGCAGTGTGGACACTTCCTCAGCTAGGAACCTAGAAACCGAGGAAGTAAAAGATGAGAAAATGGTGACAACCGATGAAGAAATTACTGAAATCAAAACCAGTGTCGAGAGGGACTTAGATAAAGTCTCCTTTTCAGATATACAGTCTACATTGTCAGAAGCAGATGATTTAGCAAGTAGTACCTCTTATCCATTCCATAATGAGGAAGAAATGGGAATTCCTGTTCCATCTGAATTTAACAAGAAATTATCCGAACCTGAGAAAACTGAGTTAGCTATGCAGATAGAAAAAATGAGCCCTCTTCCTTTGGAAGGCTTTAATGAGCCATCTGTTAGCCTTGAGACAACAGAACATGACATTTCTGATGATCGATCTGTCACACAATTCTCAGAAATCTCTAACAATCTTCTAGAAACTGTCTCTGATTCTGTGCAAAATGTCAGTTATTCTAAAGAAGAATCAACTGATCTAAAACTAGACACTAAGGAATGCAGTAGTGGTAAAAGTCCTCAGCCTTCAGATTCAGAGCTAAACAAAGGTGAATTAGACTCTTTCCTTACAAACAATGAACAAGAGGATTTGAATGGTTCTCAGTTAAAGGATGGTGAGGATTTCAGTGTAGTTAATATTCTAAAATCTGAAGAGATTACAGATGAGAACTTTGTTAATGTAACAATAAGCACCACAGTAGAGAAACATGAACAAATCAATCAATTCCCATTAAGCTGTGAAACCAAGGAACTCCAAGTGGGAAAAATAGAAGCGTTGGATAGTATTTCTTCTACAAATGAAATTAAACCTAGTTATGTGGAATTCATGTTTATAAAACATGATACACAAAAATCTTCTGTCTCTGATTTGGAATTAAGTGGCAGTGAAGAGAGAAGAACTGTAGAAACAGAAAGTGCTAATTTTTCAACTATACAGCCAGAAATGGGCCAAGAAACACTAGATCCTCTTCCAACAGAAATTGATATTGGGCATCTTGGAGAGGTGACTCTTTCCTTCACAGATCTGAGTACTGAAGTATTGAATACCTCAGCAGCTGATAATTTTGACTTAAACAATACATATCCAGAACTTAGCTTTGAACAGTCTACCACTTTTTCTCTGGATTTAGAAAATGAAGGAGTCTCTCCAAAATCTGATGAAACAAAGACTATAGATTCTCCCAGACTGAAACCAAATTTGGAATTAGAAACCATTGATTTCACTCTGGGAAATATTATAGTGGAACATGAAGTGGTAGATATTCTGCCAACTGAAATTTTAAACGAGGACAATGCAGACAGTCCAAAGTTAGAAATGGTTGCACCTATTTGTTTAGAGTCTAGCAGAATGAGTGAATTGGACACTGACCCACCAGTGATTGAATCTGAAATAATTAATTTTGTTGCATTTACCCCTGATGATCAAGAGGAGAAATTTTGCTCCGTGGTTTCAGATGCAATTATTCCACATGTGGTGTCTTCTGCATCAAAGAATGACGTGGCAGAAGTAAGCATGCCCCTTGTTCAATTGCAGGATATGTCTTCTGTTTCCATGCCCCAACCCCCATATAGTAGCAAAGTAGACACGCCTGATAAACTATTGTGGAGCTGTGGTGGGGAAAATGTACAAAACCAAGCTGTGACATGCATGGAATCCATCCTTCCAAAGCTAAAGGAATCTGTAGAAATGGGGGGTTCAGGTGACAGTGAGTTGTATAGTTTCAAGAATCAAATGCAGACATCCATAGATAAACTAAAAAAGACAGAGGAAGAAAAAACTGATGATAAATGTGAAGTTAAAAATAAGTTGGCTTCAGAAGTAACTGACATATCTGCAGAGCACCTGGTAAGTACAGACAAAATTGTTCCAAATCTCTAAGTAGCAATTGTTGACATTTTGTAAATATTATATTATAGCTTAATAAGTTGAAAATATAGCTTGCAATAGTCTTTCTCAAAAAACCCTAAAATTCTGCCTAAAATGTAAGCTGTATTGTATATATCTGATTGTGTAAAATATTTGTTTTTCAGTCTTGGACTTCCAGCCATTAAAAATGGATTTCTCATCCGTAGTATGTGTTTCAGCTATGGTTTGGGTTTTTTTTATTATTATTTCTGTTAAACTGTGACTGTACTTTTTACATTTTTCTTTGACTTTTTATGGTTTCTGATTTATACAGCTTTTGTAAATAACATTCCAAGTGCAACACTGACAAGTGCAAAGACATGTGTTCAGGACTTGAGAAAAAAAGAAGGCTCTTGCTGAACCATTTAAGCAGAAAGTTTCTTTGAAACGTTTTGCATGTTTCATTGCACAAAATGTAAAATGCATGAAAAGTGTTCTGCATTTTTCATCATACAGAAGATTGTTCTGCATTTTTTTACTTGTTATTATCTTGTTGAACTACTCCTGTAATCAAGACTGATGCCATATTGTATAAAATCCTGTGTGGATGCCATCTCACTGAGCAAAGGAGAAATATCTATCGACTCACTTTTGGAGAAAGAAAATCTTTGGTAAGGCTATGGCCCATCAATTGGACTCTGCATATTGAGGTCACTTGCATGATTTAAAAATCACATTTTATTTTACTACGTTGTGGTACAGTAACTGTTTGTGTTAAATTGTTTAGCAGCTGCCTAACTCAGAAGAAATGGAAGATCTGAACTTTGCTCTCTGGATTGGATTCCCATCATATAACCAGTCATTACATGCCTGAATGAATCCCTGAGCTACAAAAATACTGTTGTGTGAAGGTTTTCAGTTATACAACTTGTCAAGAAACGCAGTAATGCTTGCATGGATTTATCTAAAAGATTTTATCTGTAAATCTAAAATAAACCCATGATGATCTGCGACATGATAAATATTTTTTCTGTGTCTTTTTTCTGTCTACTTCTATAAGTAGTGTTTGGATTCTGTGGTTGAGATAAAGCTGATGAAAATCTTCCTTAAGTTTTTCATCTTTCAAATTCATCTGATCAGCTTCTTAAGAGAAGAAACTGCTTAAACATTGCAAAGAATTGTACACTTTCCATTTTAAAAGTAAATTTGTTTTGAATTTTAAATATATTGGTTCCATCATACAAGATCAGTGTGGATAGGAGATGTGAAATACTTTGCAAAAACAAGAAAAAATATACTTCAGTGGAAATAAATGGCAATATTAGAAATCATTTCTTGTGAATGTATGATCCCCTAAATTATGAAATGTTACTAAACCTACTACAATGCTTTACTAACCACTTTCTTTTTGTGCTTTGACTCCTGGCATGTACATGGATAAGTCTGCAGTTTTCATAGCAATGTTTTTGAAAAATCATTTGCCATGGACCTATTCCTAGGGCTAAGAGAGAATGACTGGCCCAAAGTCTCCTAGCTGGCTTTATGCATAACTCAGTACTAGAATTCATAGTCACCTAATTTCAACACCAATCAGAATTTAGGTTCCCAGCTAGCAACCTGAGGTGATCAAAATAGCACATGGTAACCAATGATAGAAATTATCAGATGTAGGATAGCATAAATTAAATATTAGTTTATAACTAAGAAATATAACTTAGAAATATAACTAAATTGTAATTTGTCTGTTTGCATCAAGGTAACTAGGAATTACATGGTTTAATTGTACAGTTGTCTTACTTATGTCTGTATAAAATATATTCATTAATAAATATTTATATCCTGCTCAATCCAGAAAATTCAAAATAACTTACAAATTATAATAATATAGCAATAATGATAGCAAAACAAAATTACAACATCATGAGATGCTGTGGCTTGCACCCCACATACTAGGTCAACTTGTTAAGCGTGGAATGCCAGTAAGTAAATGGAGGTAAATCTGTTCATCCTTCACTGTTTTGTTGTATACTTCTGATGATTTAAGGGGTTGATTAAGGAAGCAAGTTTAATATACAATGTTATTCTAGTAAAATTAATTATTGCATTCCCTAGCACTATCCTACCAAGGTACTAAATGTACAAACTTTTATTCTGCCTTCAATAACTTTTTATAACTTTTACAATAAGGCTCTGAAGCATATTAGATTAAGAGATGGCAACTGGCCCAAGTCCAGACGTTGAGCTTTACAGAGTCTCCCCAATCTAAGTCCAGGACTATATTCATTATACAACACAGGGTCTTGTAATTTCTCTTATTCTGGATCAGATTATTATAGCAATCTCTTCCTCGATATACATCAGGCCCCACTCATTAACCTTTATGAAAATCATTTAAGATTTTGCTCTCCCACCATACATTCAAGGACAGTTGAGTGGGAGTCCCCCTATGATTGTTTTGTTGTATAGCCATTTTATGTTTGTATTTATATATTGTCTAGGTTTTGTTTCATGGGTGTTTTTTATTCTATGCTTTTACTATTTATGAGTTGAGAGGCCTTATACATTTTACAAATAAATAATCTGGACTAAGGTCTTAAGATTCTGAATAGAATTCCTACTCATTCTGTTATATATGAAGTAGAATATTCTACTTCATATGTAAGCAAGCAAGCTTCAAGAGGAAAATCATCATCATTTAGCCCATAATAAGCCAGGGATGAGTACAGTTACAAAGAAACAAGTATGGATAATAAGCAGTAGTTGCAGATGGTCAGTGAGAAAAAAACTAGAAAAACTCATAAATATAAAACACCTTCAAATGGACAAGCAAATGTGGAAAAAAGAGTAGTGGTGGCAGAGGCAATAGTGGTTGGTGTGCTTGGTGTTATATCAAAAGATTTGAGGAAGTGATCAAATGCAATATGAAGGGACAGAATCAGCTCATCAATTACACAAAAAAAGTAGCATTACTTGGAACAGTAACTTCTATTGAACAATATCCTAGATCCTTGGGAAGTATCCAGTAGTCAAAAGTATCAAGTCTAGTCAGAGCCATTGAGTTAGGTTACTTGTAAACATTTGAACTACAATTCTGTTGACATCACAATCAACATTGTTATTTACACAAACTATATTGTTGATTGTGATGTCAACAGAATTGTAGTTTAAACGTTTACAAGTAACCTAAGTCAATTAGTATTGAAAACATGACTTAGATTTAGATAGATCTTATAGAGCCGTGATGGTGCAGTGGTCAGAATGCAGTATTGCAGGCTACTTCTGCCGCCTGCCAGCTGCCTGCAGTTTGACAGTTTTATTCTCACTGGCTCCAGGTTGACTCAGCCTTCCATCCTTCTCAGGTGGGTAAAATGGGGACCCAGATTGTTGGGGGTAACATGCTGACTCTAAACCACTTAGAGAGGGCTGTAAAGCACTGTGAAGCAGTATATAAGTCTAAGTGCTATTGTTAGATTTGATTCTGCATTTAATGGATAAACTTATATTTAATAATTGGAAGAGATTACCTTTGTATGCAGATTAAGAATGCATGAAATTGTATAACCAACGATAATCTTTAAAAATGGTTATGAACTATATATTATTTTAGAAACTTCAAGAACAATGCAAAAGAAATTATTGCTGTCTATTGGGGTAAGAAGTGTGATTTTACAGATAAATTCTTGCTCTTAACCTTTTCTTCTGAATGTTGAAAATTTGCAGGAACTCTTCAAATATCTTACAGAAATGAATGTTACGGCTTAAAAATTTTTAGCCCTTTTTTTCAAAATAGTTCCGCTAGTGCAGAGGTAAGGCAACCTTGGCTCTTTTATGACTCGTGGACTTCAACTCCCAGAATTCCTGAGCCAGCCATGCTGGCTCAGGAATTCTGGGAGTTGAAGTCCACGAGTCATTAAAGAGCCAAGGTTGCCTACCCCTGCGCTAGTGGTTCATTTGAAACTGATGTATCTTTAGAGTCCAAGATCACATTTTATTATTCTCACATGGAATCTGGGTTATATTTTTGTGTAGGTTCAGCCTTATATGACCTTAACTTTCAAAATAACTAAACATGAGATGAATTGAAGAAATTTTTCCTCTTTCATTCATCTTGCACACATCCAGTTTGAGCACCTGAAAGCAAAATGTTGATCCCCTGACAGCCAGCTTCAGCTGCTTATACCTTTCTCCTTTAACTGATTGCAGGTGCTAATTCCCTGAGTCCTGGCTGAAGGCACATCTTTTCCAAAGTGAAAAACTGCAGGAAGGCTCGACTTTCAGATTTTAATAGCTGAAAGAGAAGGGGGAAGAGGTCATCATCCACATTCTGGAGGGATTATAATGTGACAAATTAATTTCCCTTGTTCCTATTTTAAGTGGCCACTTTGCAAATACATTTAAAATGTGTAAACATGATTATGGAGATCTGCTGTAAATGACAATTTACACATAGGCAGTGTCGCTATTGCCACACAGTTTCAAGCAACAGATATATCAATACTTACAACTCCTTTGGAACATTGCACAAGGCTTTATTTGAGGCATGTCACATTAAGCTCTTGCTCACTTATTCTTTCTGGACCATTACTGTTTTCTTGCATTGAGCCTCCTGCATTAGAGTGTTATGGAAAATCCTGTTATGGAAAATAAGTTCTGTACAGTGGTATCGTTCATCCTGCATAATGTTTTGAGATAGAGGGAGAACTTTACAAAACAATGGTAGTTGGTACTAAATCTCTACACACTGTGTTACACGCTGGAAAAAAATATCAAGCTACATGCATATCACTCTCCATGTTAACAATGTTATTGCTGTTCAGCAGGATAAATACCTATGCTGGAAACCTTGAGAAATTCTCTTAGAAGTGCATAGCAAATCACTTGGGAAAAAAATAGCTGGAGAAATGTACATCCGAAGTTGTATACTACCCACTGAAGTAATGAATTTCTAAAAATACATTTTTTCCAAACATTAATTTTTAAGTTTTCACAGTAATAGGAGTTCAAAATATAAGAAGCTCAGGTTTCCAAGACAGTTTGATAGAAATCTGGATTCTGACGAATAAATCTGAGCATAAGTATATAATTTTTCTACAAGTCTTTTGTACTGAAACTATACTGAGAACTTGCTTTCTTCATTAATTTGTATTTAAATATATTTCTACATTTTATACACAATTAGATATTGAAAGGATTTTAGAAGTAGGAAAAATCTTTACTTTGATTGAAGCAATTATGGAATGTCATGCTCAGATTGTTCATTTTTATCATAGTTTGTGTATTTAAATGCATTTAAACTTCCATCAATCTCAGTAATTTAGATTCATATTTTTTAATTCAGAACTAGATTGATTAAGAAATCCTTTTCGATTGGTTTCAATAATGTTTCATAATATTAAGGTACAATTTTCCTCTCAGTCTCAGACATAAATATAGCAGTTTTAGTATTTATTATTAATTATTACTTAAACTTTTATTCTGCCCATCTCACTGAGCTAATAATAATATATAAATAGTAATAGAACTGTGTATGTGTATGTAAAAGCTTATTAGAAAATCATTGCAATAAAACACATTGATCTTGCTAATTTTATGTAATTTAGCAGTAATTCCTGAGACTGAAAATACTTAATTATCAGATTCATAATCTTAAAATAATTCTGTGTGGATCAGCTAATTCAGATCTGAACCTTCAGACACAATCATTTATAGGGATAGACGATGGGACTTCAGTCTTAATTGGAGGTAAGTTCTATTAAGCTCAATTGAATAAATACTTTAGTTAATAAAAACATTCATACCACCATATCTTCTTTTCTTTTATTGTTGATCAGTGAGGTGATATTTGGTAAAATTCTGCTTCTAGTTAAGATATAGCTATGATGAAAGCAACACATTAGTTTTTCAGGAACTTTTATAGATAGGACTAGTGAACTGAAAGGATTGTACGAGCATGAGAAACCTTTATCTTGCCTGGCATTGACATAAAAGGTAGGTGGGTGGGTGGGTGGATGGATGATCAGGCT